TGCTGTAGACCAGGAGAGATGTCTAGGTAATGGTGAACCTCCTGCTGCAGACCAGGAGAGATGTCTGACACCGCTGCATACCAATGTTGGATGGCAGAGATCTCAGTGGAGAGCCAGAAGCAACACACCTCTAGGATACCAGTTCTAGGTGTGTTCACAAATGAACATGGGCTCTGAGCTCGCACAAAACAAAATGAGCTGCAGTTCGAGTTGTTGTCTTAATCACTCATCAACACCTCCCAGCAGCAAATACACACCACCAGAGGTTCCAGGACAGAGGCATCTGTGCAAGGCTGAGGTGTCATGGGCATCTGGAGTCTGCAGACTGATGCACTACAGAGCCCAGGATACCTGTGGCTTCTACCTGTGAACAGAACATACGAACTAGTCCTAGGATAGACAGACAGACAGAGAGAAGACAGACAGGATGGCCCCCACCAACAAAGGGCTGAAAGCTGCATGGCTCAGAAAGTTTTCAAAGTATTTATCCCAGGTCGACATAGCCTGAAAATCTACAACAAGATTCATGCTATAATAGAGCCATAGAGCATCACAGAAATTGGCACCTTCCCCTCACACTAGAAGAGATGGGTTCACATTCCTCAATTCTGAAGAGTCATCTAAGACCACTGATTCATCAGGGCTGTCAATGATAGGACCATGAACACAGTTCCCCTTGCAGGGATTCAAAGGAATGAGTTAAACATGGAAGATGGATCTCCAGTAGTAGTCTGAGCAGACCCAAGTTGCTTCTTCCTCCAAGGACATGGGACATGCTTTGCAGACACTGGGCTTTGCTTTTCACAGCTGTGCCTTCTGAAATGAGTATCATTAGTGAGATGTTTCAGTGTCTAGGGCTGGACACACGAAATCAATTTCCCCTTCTTTCCTTATAGGACAAGAGACCAAATTATGCAGTCATGGTTGTGTGTGCTCAACATGCACACAACTCAAAGGGCTGCAAGGTATACAGGAGAAACGCCACACACAGAGCAAGGCCCATGGGTGCTAACTCACAACTGCGCACCAGACTTGGAGACCTTGGCCTTGTCCAGCTGGCCATCAGCAATGGCGGTGCGGTGAACTCGGGAGCTCACTCACATCGGTAGAATGTTAGTTACACTTGACAAAACAAATGACGTCTCAAGGACGTCTGTTTGGGTTTATGGTTTTGTGAATAACAGCTTCAACTTGCATTAGCTATGAGATTTTTATAAAACAATCTTTTTAAATTAAAAAAAATCTTTTTAAAAAATGTTAAATGAGACTTATCTATTTTTATTTTACATGCCTTGGTGTTTTGCCTGCATGTATGTTTGCATAAGGGTATGAGGTCTCTTAGAACTGGTATTAGAGACAGATGTGAGGTGCCATGGGGATGCTAGGAATTGAACCATGGTCCTCTGAAAGAACAGCCAGAGCTCTTGACTGCTCAGCCATTTTTTCAGTCCTAGCTATCAGAACCTGATGCAAAAAACCCACAAACATTGGTGAACATGGGCCAAATGCAGATTCATGAACCAGCTTGACTGAGCATCTCAAATACTCTCTCTCTCTCTCTCTCTCTCTCTCTCTCTGTGT